CATACCTACCTTAACATCCAGTAAATATCGAAGCATATTACGTTTACCCAGCAATATGATGTCAAATATGTAAATAAAGTAAAATAACCTAAAATTACACTTTAAATTAATTCAAAATACATAAACAAATAAAAAATAAATTAATAGTATATATTGTATATAATGTGGAATCAAAAACATGAATGCCGGTAAGACAAATTTGATATATATTTAAGCCCCTAATCCACTCTCCAACCATTAATTAAGGTGGTCCTAATCTGAAATACTCTTCGGAATCGCCAGAAAATACTGTTTATAGAGGGATAGAAAGTAAAAGAAATTTAAGAAAGATAAGAATAATTGTATTGATATGAAAACATCTATAGGTACGCGCCACCTACAAGAAAATGTATCCCTGTAGTAATTTCGTGTAAACTAACGAAACAAACACAAGTTGTTGTAATTTAATCTCAGAAACAACTTGACTGATTTCAATAAAAGATACTATATTTCTTAAGACTTGAAAGGTGTTTTAGATTTTTTTAAACCATACTATGCCTTTGGAGTGGCTCAAGCATTACGCATGAATTTAATTTGGGCTCACAAGTTAGATAACTTAAATTGGTTCAGCTGATCGAAAATGTGCTATCTTGTACGTTTGTAAGAAGTAGAATACGTATTCGGATTTGGCCACGTATCCAGGGGGGTCCATGGGGTCTGAAATCTCCCCCGAAATTTTTGTCTACCGGCATATAAAAAAAATAAAATGTTTTATATATCAATTAAGCATAACTATTTTACTAACATTTATTTCGACCCTCCCCCCCCCCCAAAAAAATAAAATAAAAAAAATAAAAAATAAAATCCTGGCTACGTGCCTGTTCAGATTTAAGGTCATCTTAATGTATGGGATTTTCTAGGAATTATGTACCTATTTTAATATTCAAATGCGCAAAAAGATAATCATCAAACTCAAGTACAACAAATAACTACCTACTAATATTTATAATATAATATTTATATTTAAGAAAAATCTGTTCTTTATACATATTTTTATTTATAATTTATTATTGACACTTCGCAATCAATCAAAAAGAAATTGATATTTTTTCAAGTATATTAGATGTTGAGCGGAGCAATTAATGTATTGATTTTATAGTGACACTGTTTTTTTTTTTTTTTTTTTATGTCTGTCGTTACTTTTGGGGCAGTAAAACTGCTTCAATTTTCTTCAACGGTATCTTGTTCGATTAGAAAGTGAATCTAAAGCTGGTGAATTTGGGAATTAAAAATTCTCAATAGTTTTCATAATCGCCGGGAAAAACAACATAAAAATTAAGAAAAAACGGGAATTTTTACACAAAATCGATTATGGTTTTTGGTGTAACTCTAAAACAAATTGCCGTAGGTATAAACATGCAATTTTCACTGGTTGTTTATACTAGCGATTTCTATACACGATAAATATTTTGATTTGTTTTGAACTGCTTAATTTTGAAATCCCATTTTCAGTTTCCAATTTTTTATTTTTTTTATGGGAATGTCAACAAAATTTTATATGTTGGCTAAAAAAGCTTAAAAATGTAATACAAGGCTCCTAATATATTGTTACATTATAAATAAAAAAAAAAAAACGGCTAAGTTTATGTCACTCTGATGTACAGTATAGGTTACAAGTGGGCCATTTTATAATGTATTGTATTAAACTTGAATTCAATGATATAATATCATTGTATAAGAAAAACGATTCTGAGAGGAGACGGTTTGTCAGTCTGGATATTTTATATTGTTACTAGGAAAAAAAAGTCCCGAAAAAAATGAATGAAAATATATCAAAATTGAAGTATAAATATGTTAAAATTGTATTGAAAAATTCATTAAAGTTACATAAAAAATCATATGATATCATAAAATATAGGATGGAGCTTACATACCTAAATAGTGCATAATATATTATAATATATATATACATTTAATTTTCAAGTTCCTTAATGAAGATCATATTTTGGGATTTTGCTATAATTTAGTCATTTACTATTTAGTTTTAGTGTAATGATAATATGGTAAATTATATAGATAAATATAAAAAGTTTCATATTATAAATTATTATATTATATTATATATTATTATTATATTCAACATAAATTGAAAGGTAATTAGCAGAGGTAATTTAAAAAAAAATGTTGTTTGTTATAATAGGAATTCATTCTGGATGGTTTTTCAAATATAGTTGACTAATAAATATACACGAAATTACTATAGATACTTATAACTTGAACTTTGATAAGGAACATTACATGAAAACAAACGTTTTTTGGTATAATAATAGTTAATAGGTTATATGTATCGGTACCTATAAACAGGCCTTTTTAACAGCTGTAAGACATAACATAAGAAAGAGGTGTACCTAATTATAATATTACATTTTTATTATTTTATAGCATTACGAGGAGTGCCGTCAGCGCTCCGCACGGATCTTATACGCGTTATTAGCGTTTTATTATAAAAGATTATTAGTTATTATATCATGCAAGTTAAATTAATATTATAATATTATTATTTTTTGTTCGTTTCTATGGTAATAAACAAAGCGTTAGAAATTAAAATCCAATTATTAGCGGTTTTTCGTTATTTTTCGGTGGTTTTTACCGTGGAATTAAATAACTATTGATAAAATCGAAAAATGACCTCTATAAAGTACCATCTTAATCCAATTTACTAAAATATAAGGTACTATATGTTGAAATCGAAGAAGTCCTTCTGGTAGAAATATTGTATACAGGATATAAAAAAAATAAGAAAAATAAACACCATTGTAAAACCACTAGCTTCCTCGCTCCGCTCAGAATCTAAAGTATTAAAAATCCTTAGTCACATTTTTTTAAAAAGCATTTAAAGTTCAAATCTTGACAAAATACTGAAAAAAGATGAAAGTTAGCAAATTATTTTGAATCACAAAATATTTCTTTTGAAATCTAAAATTTGAAAGTACCTATTATACAAGATTCCTCATAAGTTTGTCTACCTTTATCAAAAAAAAAAAAAAACAGTTTAGCCATACCGAATGGAATGCACAACGGGCTGTTTATGTCGTCGATTGTCATTGCTTGGATTGCATGGCAGAAGTACGACACGAACTGGCAGGCCACATAGCACATGACGTAGTAGCCGTGGACGTTCCTGAGGTAAGGCAGTGTGCTGTACACGAGCAGCGTGAGAGCCAGGCACACGACAGACGGCATAAAACTAGTCGCGAAGACTAAGCGCATCCAGATGCTACGATTGCTCGGGGATTCGGATGGCTGGGGATTCGGTGTCTTCAGCGCATATGAACGCCAGTAGACTGTCGGCCATCGATGGCCCGGCCTCGGCATAATACTCCAAGCAGTATTTCGTGACCGGTACGAGCTTGTCTTCGTCGGTATGGTAAAGGCTTCCATTCGTGGTCAACTTGAACCCGTCGTGCAATAGTTTCACACGGGAACACAGGAGATCGACGTGGTACAGCAGCACAGTGCTGTTCGACTGGCCCACAGGACGGCCGTCCGCGTCTGTTTCATAGGCGGACAGCGTGGACGGCTTCTCGCTCTGCTTCCAATCCCGACTGCTGTGTAATATATTATACTGGTTAGTGTAATTAGAGGGATAATGTTTCGGTGCAGGAAAACGTTTACTGTTAATGGTATTTATAATGGCAATGTCAATTCTAATGTTTACTTAGCAAAACCAACTCTGTGTTGTTAAAGGTAAAAAAGTTGACTGTGTTATTAACAAGTTCACTGTCCGAAGACCAATATTTAGTTCATGGTTTATTTATTGATAAGTCCCCATTGAAAATTGATAAATTATTTAAAGCTTATCATATCACCAGTTCAACTGTGTTATTATGAATTTCATAGCATGTAGTCCATACAAATAAATTTATATGGAAATAAATGTATAAAATGAACCACATGTGGGTCATGGACTGATCAGAAAAGTTTAACGTGGCCCACATATAGGTCAAAAGACTGACAATTTCGATTTAATTTAACACATGGACTAGTGAACGTGGGTTTTTTTTTACAATATTTCAATTTTTCTGCGATTTAATTGTTATTTTTAAATTTTAGTACCTATTTTACATATAATATAGTTTACCGTCTTTATTTGGTAAGCTTAATAAAATATAATCTTCCAAGATCTGACTTTTTGAATAAAATTTACTATTTCATACATAAAGGCTAAATGCACGATGTTTAAAGTTTAGACTACAAAGCTTAATAAAATTATAAAAATATTGCAACACTTAAATGTATGTATAAATGCAAATAAGAACACTTATGAACAAACTATAATAAATTATAATTATCATTTATCAACCATACATAAAACTAGAAATCTCAGTCTTAATTTATTTGTATGAATTTCGACTGGCGCATTGTTTTGGAAAGAGAAAAATCTATTGCAATTTACAATTATACTAAAAATTAATATAAATTGGATTGTCAGATTTATTAATGTTTTGATAACTTTAACACCATAGCACCATAGTATTGTTTGTGTGAACTGTGAATACAGAATAATACAATTATCAGTTATTTTATCTTGTTGGCCAAAATGTCAGGTCCGTGTCACTGTATGTTATGTTGTCAATTAACCGAAAACATGCTCACTACTGCATAATACTTCTTAATACCGTGATATAAAGTTTATACTGTTCTAAAATAATTTCAGTATACAGTTAGTAAGTACGCTGTATTGCATACAATTCATGAACACTAAGTTTTTGCACGATTATGTTAATTTTGGTCAATAAAATAATGTTACAGTTGGTTTTATTATTTTCTAGCGTCAGTGGTTGGGAGTAAAGTGGTCACTGGTTAGTATGATATTACTTCTTTCTTGTCCTGCTAAAATAGCATCTTTGTTTTATTACACTTCATTTCCAGACACGTATAATTTTGAAAACATTATTGTTTTTTTTTTTTTTACAAATCATATAGGACTATTGGGTGTACCTATAAAGGGTGGGCCACCGGAATATTGACAAAAGTAGACGGGTTTTTCTCAACGTTGAATGTGAGTAGTTTAGCTCATTCGATCCGTTAGATAATTCCGTTTCGTTGTCACTATGGAGGAGTGGAGTGTCGTTCACCGTGTGTTTGCGTACAATGCATTTGTGAAAAACAATAAATCGGTAGTTAAGGTGCAGCGCGCATTTAGACTTCACTTCAGCGTCGTCTGTATTGGTGCTGCTCACAATGGGAAAACAATTATGAGGTGGTAGATAGTTTTTGAACGGGGACAGTTAATAAAAAAAAAAAAATGGTCCCAAACGTACTGTAACAACTCCCGAGAATACGGAGTCTTACCGTCTGAATGCGCGATGCACGCTGCACCTTAACTACCGATTTATTGTTTTTCACAAACGCATCGTACGCAAACACACGGTGAACGACACTCCACTGTTCCATAGTGACAACGAAACGGAATTATCTGACGGATCGAATGAGCTAAACTAGACCTCCCTACTCTCATTCAACGTTGAGAAACACCCGTCTACTTTTGTCCCTATTCCCGTGGCCCACTCTGTATATCTATTTTATAATATAATATATGAAAATAAATGTACCTACACTAAATAAGTGAAGCAAAAAATTCATCGTTTTTTCTCAATCGTTATTATGTTGGTACTTGTATTATGTTTATTATATTTAATATTTATGTACCAGCGAAATACATGAATTTTATTTTTATTTTATTTTAAATGTTTTTTAAGATTATCATAGTTACAAAATCGAAACTGAAAAACATTTAAAATTAAATGGACTTATTTAATAAATGGATATATGTATATTATAATCTGAGACATGTTTACGATTCAAGTTCAAACCAGTCATCCCAGGTGTCATAATTTATAATATTACATAATATGTATACAGAAATGTACTGTTGTAGAAACCTTCATAATGTAACAGTAAAATTGAGCCAAAATTGTTTTCAATTTATGACCATGTTATTTATTAATTTATAGTCCATACATTATACCAATCTTAATTTAATAGCAAGCAAAACAACTAAAATACAAATAAAGATAGCAAAATTACAAAAGCTAAAGCTTTTTTAAACTTGATGCACGTTTTGTGTGAAGAAGCGATAAAAAATAAATTTTACTTGTCTACCTATGTAACAGATTAAATAATTTAAAATAGTGGAGTTAACAACTGAGCATTTATGGTCATTATTTAACATTTTGACAACATTTATCAAATTAAAAATTGATAAATTATTTTATAGTTAAACATTTATAAAATTTTCAACTTTTATAGGTAAGGATTGAAAATTAATAACAAGATTCCAAGTGAGTACATTATTCAGTAGGTACCCAACAAATCTAAATAATAAAAACCATATTTTTAAAAGTTATGTTTTTCAAATTTGGACGAAATTACATAATATTTGAACCTTAGAAGAACGGTTTTAGTTTTGTGTTTTATTTTAAAAATATTATTCGTGGGTACTTGAAACTTCTAAAGTATATTATTATATACAAATATGATAAAAAACAAACAATATTATTAATTAATAATTAGTTAATAACTTAACTAGTTACCATATTAATAATAACAATATAAATATAATTCTATAAAATATCCTTAGTTGACAAACCATCTCCACTCAGAATATTTTTTCGTGTATATTTATAATATTATATCATTGAATTCAAATTTAAAACCATGCATAATTTAGTCATCCACTTGCGTAATACCTACGCTACAGAAGAGCGATCCACCCTCAGCCAAATTATATATGTATACTGTATAGGCAGTCTTGTAAAGTATTCGAATAAATGTATTTGAATACATTTTTTAAAAAGTTTTCAAATAAGTATTCCGAAGAACTTTATTTATATTTTTTATTCATTAAAAAAATAATTTTTTCCGATCTAGAAAAATAGTTTTAAATTTGTAACAAGACCACATATTTTAAAACATGAACATTAATTTTATTATTTTTGGAAGAAAAGTAATATTGGCCCATGATATGTTTATTTTTTAAACACCAATTTGTTGTATCCCGTATACTGTATAAGCCGTATCATATGTGGTCAAAATGTATAAATAACTTATGATTACGATCTATTTTTAATTATTAATTAATACATGTTAATTACTAATCATTCAAAAACTGACAAAAACTAATTGTAAAAATATAAATATTTTAATAGTATTCTAATATTTTTAAAGTATTCGAATATATATTCTAAATATATTTTTTAAGAACTATTCGAATACGTCTTCAGAATACCTTAATTCTCATTTATTCAAATATGTATTGCGAATACAAAATAAAAGTATTCTTTACAAGAATGTGTATTGTGTAGCACCTTTGATAAATAAACATTATTGGATTTGGGTGCCACTTTAAATGAGAAAATAAACAAGTACCCGGCAATTATAGCACAAACACATCAAATTCATTGGTCAATAGCTATAATCTAAATAATACTTAGGTTTCATAATATTCATTGACCATCAGACACCCATCCCCTAAATTAGGCCCGGCTCTTGCCAAACTTGAACCATGTTCACGAAACCACTGTGTATATACACACACATTCAACATTTTGCCAATCAGGATAACTCTTAATCTCCACCATTCCTTTCCCGGCAAATACCCACAGCACCAGCTGAAGTTGTCCATACGCTCGGTATAACCATTTTATAATACATTATATACTTATACAATATACATGGACCGCCGTGGACTTACTCGTCGTCGACGACGATTATCTTGTCGAGCTTGTAGCATTTGTTGACACACGTGTAACCGTCCTGGCCGCAGTACTGGTCGCGTGGCCGGCACGTCCTGGCCAACAGCTCATAGGACGGCGTCACGTCGAAGCAGTAGCCCGGTGGCAACTCGACGGCCGACGGGTCCGCTTCCATCTCAACGGCCGTCACGTCGACTAGCACTTGAGTGGCGTTGCACATAGGCTGCTCATAATCGTAACCCACCATCATCGCATCGGCCACCGCCCGGAATCCGACCCGCAATATCTGCATCATCCGCCGCAGGTACTCGTCGCCGTCCGCCCCTGCCGGTCCGCAGAACCGCACTTCCGGATCGTACGGCCGACCGGGTGGACAACACTTCCGGACTGGCACGGCGGTCCGGTTGTCATCGCACGTGCCGCCGCCGATCGCTTCAACCGTGTGGAATGTCCGATTTTCGTTCTGGCAATATGCGACCCCGCCGCCTCTCGCGACTGAACTACTGTTGCAACAGACCACGGCGTCGGCGGCTGACCAGTCGATCGCGACAACGAGAAACGCGACGATGGCAGCGAAACACGATCGGATGGTATTCATCGTGTACGCAAACTGTTTGGGCGGCGTCGTTACATTCACTATCCCGACTTTCGGCCGCCGAATATGTCAGCTGCGATGGAGACCGGTTAGGTTAGGTTAGAATTGTCAATATTATTATTAAATATACCTTTCATGTCCGGCAGGGTTATCGCATAAATTATAATCACAATAAAAACACTTAGACGTAGGTACTCCGTAAAAAAACGGCTAAGTAACATTAAAAACAGATATTTAAGCATTATAAAGATGTGATATCAAAAATAAATGCTAAACTAATTGAATTGAAGTACATATTCTTTGTTTCAATAATTTATTTACATTCATTACAGTATTTTAAATTATAATGAACTTCTAACGCCTTTTGTTTATTTTGTTCATGTTATTTTACGTGCTGTGTCATGATACAAAGTATATAATTTCTCGCTAAACAAATAAATTATTGAAACAAAATAAACGTTCTTTAATTCAATTTACTTGGCATTTATTTTTGATATCACATCTTTATTATAGTGCTTAAATATCTGTTTTTTTCTTTACTTAGCTGTTTTTACCCGGAATTTTACGAAGTTTTTTTCTGTGATATCACCAATTTTCTAAAAAAGTGTGAGACAACATTTTTTGAGGAATTTATTATATCATCCCTTGTCTTTTTTTTATTCAGTAAGTACTTTTCCTTATTTTGTATTTTGTTTTTTTTGTTTGCTTTAGTTGGCATATTTATAACTAAATAATACCAATATATTATTTTACATGATGTACGAACACAGTTATAAGTAACAGTAATAATACACTAATATACTAGCTAATACTAGTCATAATTAAAAATTAACCAATTACATGTTACATGTGAAATCTCCCTTTAAAATGTTATACGCTTAATATTTTTGTATGAGGGGTAAATTATAGGTGGACAACGACTGTGCAACTGTGAAATCTCCTCGTGATATGAGTCACGATAAAATCAGAGTGTGTTCAAAGGGGACATCCTCGCCTGAACGTTGTGAAATTACCGCGGTGACAAAAAAAACGAACTGTGAACATAAAAATGTATACTACTCCGTTCAGAATAAAATTTTTACTAAGTTATATAGTTTTGACCAAACTGTGAGAATCAGAAAATACCAAACCTAGGAAAACATTCACTCCTGAAAGCTATAACAGATTAAAAGCTGAAGGATGTTCATATGAAACAACTACAACATGTAATATTCAAAATTCCAAGGGAGAATAACTAATTGGAAAACCACATACTGTAGAGTGGAAAAATAATGATGATAGTGATGGTGTGGTATTTGAAAAATCAAAAACCTTGTAGTGTTGCAATTTTTTAAATTTATTTTTATGTTTTTGAATTTAGATATTATGGTAATTCAGATATTATAGGTAGTTCGGATAATATACTAATATTGTTCATTTGGGAATTATTAATGCTGAGACACCAATGGTTACTAATTGCTGGTACCTATTGGTTATTACATTGTTCATATGTGAATATTAATTCATTAGATAAGTTTATTATTTATTTGTTTAGATGAATTAACTTCAGAAATATATTTTACTGAATCTAGACCAGATATTACATTACAATAGACTCATCTCACATCAGTTAGGTAATGAAAGATATTTAAAACCAGTACAACCAGGCGTTGTATGCGGCAACTAATTAAATAATAATAATAGACATTATCATATTCGTAATAACAGGCCAATGAAGCTGGGGCAGAACTTAGTGAAATAAAACTTAAGAGGACGTCACACCACTCACTCACTCCAGCATGTGTTGTATTACAAATATACACCATAGGTTAGGTTAGGTTAGGTTAGGTTAGGTTAGGTTAGGTAAACTGTAAGCTAAGTAAGTGATACAGGCATGTCAATACAGAGCCAGGATTTAATGATGAAGTATTATCATTGAAAGTGAAAAATTCACCTCGCCCAATTTTTGTTGATTTGGTAGTTGATGAAATAGCTATACGTCAACATTTAGAATATGATGGAAGTAATTATTATGGTAGAGTAGACATGGGAACAGGAATGAATAGCGATAGCTTAAAAATAGTAAGGGAATGTTTGGTTTTTTTAATAGTTTCAGTAAACAAAAATTGAAAATTTCCTATTGGTTAATTCTTAGCTAAAAGTTTAAATAGTTAACAAAAAGTTGGACTACTTCATTATGCTATACATGAATTAAATACAACTGGTGTTAAAACCATAAGCTTAACTTTTGATGAATGCTCAAGTAATGTAACCTCTGCACAGCTTTAGGTTGTAATTATAATATTAATGATTTAAAAATTGATTTTCTTCTGGCTGTACAAACAATAAAAAATATTGTAACGCTTTTTGATCCTGTCCATAATATTATGACTTAGTTGATTAGAAATACATTTTTAGATTTTCAAAACAATGAAATTAACTTTGGGTATGTCCAAAATGTATGATTTTTGAAGGAGGAGGAAGGGTGCCATCTTGTTAACAAATTAAGAAAGCAACATATTTTTACGTCTTCAAACAGAAGATTGTAAGAGTTTTTATTTTTAATGCCTAAAAACTACCCATGAGTCAAGGGGAGACTTGATTTGTGATCTAACAGCCTCACCGCAAGTAGGTCGTGAGGCCCAGTCGGTGGAACAGGTAGGCTTTAATACTCACAGTTATTACTGAAAGTAAAAGATTTAAAATAAATAAAATATTAATAATATAAAGGGGATAAAGGTGATACTATTAAAATAATAAAAGTGAGTTTTAAAGTAATCAAGCAGTTTATATTTTACACGGTGCAACGATTTGCAAATAATAATAATTTAAATGGCAATTACAGATATAATAATGATTTAATTATAATATAATTATTTTCTGACTTCAATACACTTGAACTGAGTTGTATCAAATACGTAGGTATATAAGTATATTATATTCAAATATCAAATGTCATTGCAAATTTATTATATTCAAATGTCGAAAATCGAAGCATTATTTCGACTACTTATCGTGTACACAGACACAAAAAAAATAAAAAATAAATATAAAAACACACATCATTGTAAAATCAATACATTCATCGTTCCACTCAGAATCTAAAATTAAATACTGCAAAACAAAACCTAACGATTAACAAAATATACCTATATTATATATCATTAAGCAAAACATAAAACAAAACGTAATTTATAGAATATCATTAAACGAAAAATAACTCAAAAAGTAATATATAGAATATCATTGAACGAAAAATAACGCAAAACAGAATATTTTAAAATCTATTTATTTTAAAGGTCTATTAGTTTTGTAGAAACGTTTATTTCATGCAAAAAAAATCTAAGAAGTGATTACATTATATTCCACTTTAGTTATTATTTTTTAATTTAACAGGTATTAACACCAGGTTATTAAATAACGATAAACGCAAAACTTGTATAATATTTTAGTTCTAAATAACGACAAACGCAAGACTTGGATAACGTTTTAATTCTGAATAACAATCGGTCAATTGACCACTTTTTTACTAAATTTAAAATTAAATTAAATACATAATTCTAGAATATTTATACATTTGAATCGTTTTAAATATAAATAAAATATTATTTCATAATTACAAAAAAAAATGTTCTTCAAAATTATTTCCTATTATGTATTTATTGGCAATGTTAAGATAGAGAAAATCGCTTCTCTTGAAAATTCAATATTTTGACAATAGTACGTTTTGGATTTTCACTCAATTATTGTTATCAATATTTGATTAAATTGATCAGAACATATTTGTCATATTCCTAAAAAAAGTTAACAACACCTGAAATACAATATATTATGAATACTGTATTACGATATAAATTGTATTACAACCAAGGTTCATAGCTTCAACAATTTAAAAAATATATTTTCTGGAAAATAAACATTCAAAATTAACAGAATTGAGAAAATAAAGAAAAATAACAGTTGGTTTTAAATTAAAGTAGAGGCAAATGAGTTAAGTTAAAGTTAAGTTAATTAAAACTCCGAAATAGTAAGTTAAGTTAATGAGTTAAAATTAACTTAACTTTTAACTAAACTTCTAACTTATTAATCGTTAATGCGCAGCCTTGAAAATAAGTAGGTACATACATATTACATATTGCATATTAGTGCGTTTCGCGTATTTATCAGGCGGGTTGTACGTTTCTATATGTACGAGTAGGCACCTATGTTTTTACATAATATGTTATTCAATTAAAACCTATACTTATAATTATAATAAGTTGTCCAGGGAAACAGAGAACACTTTAAGAAACCAGCACACTATACATTTTTGAATGCAGTTTGAATAGATCATTTATCTAGACTATTTGATTAATAAATTCCCTTAACTTCCATTTTTTTTTTAATTTATAAATTTTGCGTTAAATTTCTTTCGATTTAGAGTTTCTGTATTGATAAAATATTTACTGTCGAACAATTTGATTTCAAACATATTATTAATTTTATAATAGTTCTCATTCAGCCAATTTTGGATTTAAAATACAAGTTTAAACATCAAAATGGCTTAAAAACATCTATGAATGCGAATTTATATTTGTTTTTCAGTTAAAAAAAAAAAATCAACTGTACAATGGTTTGTATAAATTATTGTAGGTAGGCATGATTGTTGTTTATTAATATCTGTAGTCTGTACCATTTAAGTTTCAGGAAAAGAAATTATTCAAAATATTATTATTCAATTAGTACCTATGTTAATAATTATTCGTCGTGTTCAATTATTCACTTAATATTTATTAATGATTTTACATAAGCAACTATATATAATATATTACAGGTAGTGAATTTTTTACTAGTAAATATTTACTTATTCGTTAATCAAAAACGTAATAATCAAAAACGTTTAAAAACGTTAAACAAAAACGATATTTTTTAAATCAATAAACAAAAACGAAAACGAAAAAATTAAAAACGTTTTCCATCCCTGCATAAAACACATAATATTCCGTAATTGACTATTCGTAAAGAACTGTTCTTAAAGAAGGCGAGTTCTGGAATGAAGAATATAATCTGAAATGTGTCTAAATTACACTTGAGTACATCTATATAATTTGTATCACAAATTTGTAAATTTATAAATTGATTAGGTACATTGTATAATATACCTAATCAATATTACATTTTTAACAAGAATTTATAAGCTATTAACTACGAGTTTAATGTTAATCGAAATTGTATAGTACGTACTTACATAAACATACGTGAAAACTCTTGCTAATACAAGCTTCAGTTTGGTGCTGATTTCAAAGTTCTTGGTTCAAGCGGGTGGCCAACTTCATAAGTTCAAAAATGTATAGCGACCGTTCGAATGACTTGCAAACTTTAAAAAGGGCCTTACAAATACTTGCTACTCATTAGCTTTCGTTTGATACTGATTTCAAAGTTTTGGGTCAAAATGTGGATTGGTTATTTACGTGAAGTTGCCTAAAGTTGCCTGAAGTTGAACTTTTAATTTTTTTGTTTCAAGTTTGGATTTGCAAATTCTAAAAATAGACTTGCAAATAACTTGCAAGATATTAGCATAGATTTTAAAACAATTGCAGTATTTAGGTGTGCTAACTTCACAAACGTAGCACAAACAAATAGAAAATTGCAGCACAAGCCAGCACAAACGAAAACTCCTGTCTTAAACTCAAATGTTTAATGTGCGTGCCGGGGACATGGTATAAATATTAATATACCGTAATAATGGAAATATAATATTTCCATAATCCATACATTTATTTTTTGTATTTTTTATTAGCATCGTGTTATAGAATTTCGTTTGCAGGCATGCGGAAAAAACCACTATGCGTTATGACTCGGACGCTCAGTAGGTATAAGTTCTTATAGATATAGCATACTTTTGACGGGTAGGTACTGTATAATAGTTATATCGTATATTCGTACATCGTAATAAATATTCATTAGTACAGAAGACAGGTAATAAGGTACATGATAATTATTCATCATACCTTAAGTTATAACTGGTTTTCAATGTCTCTTGATGAATCTGTTTAGTAATACACTTTAGATAGCATGTTTTGTACACTTATATACTCGATAACATCAATATTAGCTATAACTAAGATTTAATTTTTGGAATTTTATCGTTAATACTACAGAAGTTATCCATAAAATAAAAAGTAAAATTGTAATAAAACCGTACAAATTTATCAAAGTTACCCCATTTTACTGTAAACAATTACAAACTATTATCACTTTTTGTTTCGTCTTTTAAAAAAAGCATTGATTATAAATACAAGTCAATAATAGTATTTATAATCAATGCGCTAATAGGTACTTATTAAAGTTAGTTAATAGATACCTTGAAAATGTATGTACGTGTCTACAATGGTCTATGTTAATATTTTGAAGCGCTACAAAGAAAATATATACTTATATAAATATAACACCTTATTATATACATTATAGCCTATAGATACCTATTGTATAGGTATATTATATATTACATAGAATATACCTATTGTATAGGTAGGTATATTATAATATATTATATAGAATATATATAAAATGTTTGTTTCTGAAATATACTTATTTATGTGAGTATATAGGTACATTATAGGGTTTAGATTGTATTTGCAAAAAATATTGAATCCGCTGTAAATTTATTTTTGCTATATCTTGAAGGATATGGTTAATCTTATTCTCATTTGTATTATATTATCATAAATCTTAAAACTATGGTTGATCTGAACACGGAAAAAACAAAACAGTTGTTACTTGTTTGTACTATAAAAATTGTAGAATAGACTGTACGTTATAATTGCTATAAGGATAGCTATAAGGTTAGTCGGTTTTACTAAAATATCATAGTCAAGCTATTATAGTTATGCGAACTGAAATATGCTATTTTAAATATATTTTTTAGTTAATTGAAACTTTAAAAACTCCGTTAACTATAAAATATAGTATAGATTACCGTAACAAATAACTATATTTATATAGTCATATAATAAGTAAATCATTTTAGTTATTTAACCTAGGTATTAATTAGTTATATACTTATATCTACTATAATTTGTTTAACTATAATATTATAGTAATTTTTTTCCCCTTGAATAGTGATTTAACTCTATATTATGTAATATTCGTTATGTTATTTTTACTAGGTAAAGATACAAAATAATACCTAATTAATGTAACAATATAATAATTGTGGCTCAAAATGTATTTGTGTAAAAATTACATTTTAATTTATTAAAAATAATAAAAAGTGAACAGCCCATAAATTATGCATGCTAATTGTGTATAAACGGTAATTAATTAATAATAATTATGATACCTAGATTAAATAATTATTGAATAAATAAGTATATAAAATATAGTATATGTATTTAATTATCTACTTACAGGAAGCACAAAACTTGTTGCATATATTTTATTTAAAACAAAATTTTCGTAGTTTGGAAACGAATAGAAGAGAACATAAAAATTCAAGAAAAACATCAACTAAGCAATTTAACATTTATTTTGTAATTTTATTAAATATGATTTATCAATTTTAGATTCTGAGTGGAACGATGAATGTATTGAATCTACAATTATGTGTGTTTTTATTTCTTTTTGTGTCTGTCATCACCTTTTAGGACATTATAAATGCTTGGATTTTCTTCAACAGTATCTTTTCTAATAGGAAAATGATTCTAGTTGATACTTTGGGGATTCAAAAGTAAAAATTTCTCAGTAGTTTTCAAAAGCGCAGTGAAAAAAAAAAAGAAAAATTAAGGAAAAACGGGAATTTTTACGCAAAATCTGTTTTCGCGAAATTTCGAGATTTTGGTTTTTGGTGTAACTTCAAAACAAATGACTTTAGATAAGTGAAATTTTCACTGAATGTTTATATTAGCATTTCCTATATACCATACAATTTTGACTCTTTTTGAGCCGTTAACGGACATTTTCAGTTTTCAATTATTTTAGTTTTTTTTTCTATAAATATCAATAAAGTTTTATCTGTTGTTCCAAAAAGTGTAAAAATTTAATACAAGGCTCCTGATATATTGTTACAATAGCAGTTGAAAAATATTAAAAATACATAGGCACAATTATTTTATAAGCATTTAAAGATCGAATTTTGACAAAATTTATCAAATTTAAAATTGAATAATTATTTTGTAGTTAAAAATTTATAAAATGTTCAACTTTTATATCTAAGGATTGAAAATTTAAAACAAGATTAAACGTAAGTAGTTAATTCTGTTAACAAAAAAACCAAAATATACATTAGAATAGTTTATTTTTATAGTCATTTTAAGTTCAAATTCGGAAGAAATTACATAAAAAAAACCTAGAATAACTATTTTAGTTATTTCGTTGTGATTGTATAATATTATTCGTGGGTACTTGAAACTTCCAAAGTGTACTATTATATATCTATGATAGTATCAGGGTTTGTTATTGATGTATAAAGTGTTATAAGTACCTAATGGATATTGTGATATGATTAATTTGGAATTTATTATAGGTCAACTTTTCTTAATACCATAGATAAGTATATAATATGCCTTATACCTTGATAGACATACCGTCTCCGCTCAGAATCGTTTTTCTTATACAATGCTATTATATCATTGAATTCAAATTTAATATCATCCATTATACAGTGACCTCCTTGTAACCTACTGTACAGCAGAGCACCTTTTTTAATATAAATATTATACTATGTATTTAGAACAAAGATAAATTATTTGAGTAAAATAATCCATAACTAAAATAAAATATGATAGATCGTATTTTTTGATTATTAACTATTGTTTTATTTTTATAATAATTACAAAAAAACAAATACATAATATTTAAAGGCACAAAAATAATGATTTTTTTTATCCCCTAAAGCCTGAGTCTTAATATAATATATAATATTATATATTCTTATTGTAATTTAGAAATCATTATAACTTTTATGAGCACTTCCCAGTGCCACATTTATGACGACCCAGAGATAGTGTTAATTTGTGTCGATTCACTATGATCCATTGCACGTCTAAACTTTTTGCGTAAGTCCATAATAACTTTACGCTTGGCCACAAATATAATAAATATGATAACTCCTTGTAGACTGGTCATTGCATCAGAAAAGTTCCATAAGATCCCCTCTTCAATTTGGAATAAAGAACATAATATCCAAAAAAAATATGAGGTTCCCATAATCAGAAATAGTTTGAGGCTCATTAAAAATCTGTCAAAAATAAAAAATAAAAGTTATATTAAGTCAAATGAAAAGATTTTAAATATTTTTTGAGCAATAAATCACAAATTGTTTAAAAGATTTATATATTAACTAGTGGAGAAGACGGAAACTACTAATTTTAAATTTATCAAACTTTTAGATTATTATAGTAATAACGTCTTTTTAAATAAACATAATAACGTATTGTTCTATAGTACAATAAATATAGATTTTTCATCATTTTCATATTTTTTTACTTATAATTCGACTTGCCTCGCAGAGACTAATGTTTTAAATATTTAATAATGTTTAAATTATGAATATGTTGGTACCCTAAGTAGTTAACAGACTATATTGTATTAGGTATGTGCCCTATGTGAATGGATAGTACCCTACAATATTCTTACTTTTCTTTGTAAACATGAAAACTTTCAGCTTTTGAATCTGTCCCTTTGAATCCGTTGAGCTCAGATTTAATTCTTAAAAAATAAATAGCAGTTAAGAAGAACATAATTAAATTTGCTGTCACCATAACAGTGGAGGGTAGCAGGAAGAAAATGAAAATACCATAGCCACTTTTATCTGGAAAAATATTAAATATAAATTAATAATTATATATTTACAACCATGGAATATACAAATTTAATATAGAAAACCAGTGACACCGATGTTCATTCAAAGTTATATCTCAAAATGTTAAACCTTATACAAACACATATACCTACTGATGATTATTATTTTTTTCTACTTTATCAATCCAACAAAAACATTTTTTCACAGCCATAAAAATGACTAAATAATGTAAAAGTTAATTGTTGCAAATAAAATATATGAGTAACAAATATTTTTTAATCAAAATTAAATTAATATTTTAAAATTGTAGCTAACAATATGTACCTTTTATTCTTTGAACAATAATTATCAGTTAAACTAGTTATTATAGGTGTATGTATTTGTGTTTTGTGTGAGTAAATATAGAATAATTAAATACTAATAATTTATTAGTATCGTATATTAATATTGAACTTAAAATCATACCATAAATTATTACCTTCAAGTCAAACATTTAAAACAAACCATATATACTAGATTGTACCTATAGGTACCACAACACTCCACCGACCAATCAAAACATGTTTAGCGGCAGCTGTAGCTAGGGTTTGGCTCCACTGAAGAAAACGAACGGAACTATTAAGGTACCTAACAAAGGTTTGTTTGAATAAAATAACTACCAAATAATTTTTTTAGGGGGTAGTAAAGCAGTTTAACATCAAATTAAACTTTTATTTTTATTTCGAGTTTAAAAGTTAAGTTACTGCAGTCTTAAATCTCAGTGTATTACCGCTCAGTGGTGTAGTATTTTGAACTGTTCAAAGGAACAGAAAATTGGCTTAAGGTATTGATTAAAAATAATTTAAAAGAGCATTTTAATTTAAAACTTTGATTCAATTCTGAGAATACTTAAATAAAGAATATCTAAATATAGTGGCATTCAAATTGTTGTCACTTCGTGGATATAAAATGTCCATGCATTATTAGTTTTTTGATTTTGACTATTTTTGAGGAGGAATCACATTTGCATTTACCTGGAATGATTGCTAACTGATTAGAGTAATTTAGAAAATATAGTTGTGTCATATTCTAAACAATTTTGTATTTAAAGCAATAAGTATTCGTAAAATAATGATTGCCAAATCTGCTAAATGTTAATTTTTGTTCACGAATATATTTTTAATAACATACTTTGTGCAATGTAAATATAAAATATCGATTTATTTAATAGCTAATAGAAAATTTTTAAGAATTTTATACAATATATTTTATGTAGTATGACATGTCGGAATATTATTTAAACTTCGTTTCTTAAATAAATTTTAAAAACGCATTATTATAATTTATATTTTTTTTAAAACTTATATTAGATTCATATTATGGTTATTTTAGTCTGGGCAAAGTCTGCATTCTTCCTCAATAGTCAACATTAATTAATGGTATAAATGTGTAATATATTAGCCAATAAACATAATAACCTATATGCCTATAGTATAATACAATTTTCACAAATATTTTAAGATGATTCGCTTATAAGATGTACTGTAGTTTATAAGTTTATTATGCAAATACCTACTTGTTTAAATGCAAATAAACCCGTCCCCCGAGATCATACAATATGATAATTAACAGATGTAGCCGTGGGGTTTTAAAATGTCTTGAAATTTATTTACTTGAAATATTTCAATTCAATGAAAAATAAAATGTTTATTATATCTAAAAGTTATTATAGTCGTCAACTTCGAAGTGAACATTTTTAAAATTTGGTTTATTGTATGAAACAAAGATAATATGTATCATATTTACATATGATTTGTAAGTTGCTTGACAAATCTACAATATAACAAATTTAAACATTTACAAACACATATAGACCAACTCAACATCATGGCAAATTGTTGAGAGCCATGGCTCTGCGAATGCATATTTTATTATATTCACAATGTATAGACATAAACCACTCTTAAATCTTAATAGTCGTGAGTGACCTTTTAAAATATACAAAATATGATCTAAGTATTAAATAAAAGAGTCCCAAAAAATATAATAATTACCTACAGAAAATACTCTATTATTTCAGTCACTGTTGAAATTGTTTTAACTTTATTTCTAACCATTATCTTTTGGAAAACTGACGGTCCGAATACAACAATATTTTAAAACTCATATAAAAATGCTTTTACTCTCAAAATAATGCCAGGAATATTTTTCAGAACTACAAATAGAGTATATAAATACGAAATAATAAATCAAAAAAATAATATGTTTTTTATTTCTAAGTGTGTAATCAATATACGAGTATTACCTATTTCTAATCATCTATAACCGAACACGTTTAAAAGAAGAAAATATTTTTTATAATTTCATTGAAATATTTCAAGAACAGTGAAATTTTCAATTTTGAAATATTGCAATTGAAAAATTTCAAGTGAAATATTTCAAATTCAGAACCCTAGATGTAGATGTAAGTACTAAATCAAAATTGTGTGTCAAACATTAATCATATATTTTACACGTCTTCTAGGTAGAAATATCTTATGGTTTTTATAGAATATACAATATAGTTGGTCCTACTAGCAGTGTAGGGTGCAGAGCCTGTGCTGCAAATGACATTTAAATTTTCAACTGCAATGACATACACAATAAATATTTTAACATGATCTAATTGTTAAGCAGACAAATATAACAAGTCAGGAATTGTTACTTTAATTTGTCAAAAACAATTCATTCAATTTTGGACTAGTAATGTTTAACATAATATTGAATTTTTAATCTATTTATAAAAAAATGAATCTATCCAGACGTATTTTTTGTTTTTGAAAAACTGTTTTTAACTTATGCCGTTGTAATCACCGATGATATGTCGAGACGTCATAATATTATTTTAGTTTTATTTGTGTCTACAGACTTATGAGTTTCTTATTTTACTTTAATTGGTTAATAGTCAGTTCAATTAGAAAACATATTTCAACTTTGGTTTGATACCTTACAGTACTATTATTTTTTTTTAGTAAACATTTTTGATTATTATAAGAGTAAAAAATATTTTTTATTTTAAATTTTTTAAATTTTTATAAAAATGGGATTTTAATTTCTAAAATTTTGTTCATCACCATGGAAACAAATAAAAATATTAATATTATAATCTATACAGAATGCACCAATTCTATATGACTCAAACTTTGTTCAATTCGGTTTTTTGTGTATGGTGTTCAAAATTTATCTTAACTCTTCTGTTGCCTGTGATAAAAATTCTGACTTATTCATTTAGACAATTTCTAATGTTTTTATAGCTTCCCGGGATCTATGTGTTAGTTGTAAATAATTATTAGTGTGAGTAAAATTAAATGTGGGTATCGGCATGTTGCCTATCTCGTACACGCATGCACATGTCAATAAATCGATAACCATATCAATTTCAATACACAAATTTTACATCAATATACTTATTGTTTTCACAAAATTAAAGTTAGTTAACGTTGTCTGATTTCGATTTTGAAAAAAATATTTAAATTGAGCAGAAAAATGTCTGTAGAATGTAAGAAACATTTTCCGTTTTTAATATTAATTTTAATTTTAATTATGATTCGATGTAGTTTATATTTTCAAGTTTTCAATTACAGATCACAATAATATAAAATTTAGTTTTTACAAAGTGCTTCGTAGGATCTATAGTCAATTAACTGGTGAGTTCAAATTTTTTTTTCAGAATCAACGACTTTAACTAACTTTAATTTTGTCAATACTTTAGGTCTTTTCAGCTAAAATTGACGGCAGTAGCGAGGCCCCTTAATAAATAAATAAATAAGTAAATAATTTGTAATATATAAATAATACAAGTCTTGTTAATAATAAAAAGGTAAAAAGGGACTTCCAATATGAGTAGGTATAAGTACTTGGGTGTGGCACATATAATGCAATTAAATCGGCCACATATAAACGATTAATATTATAATATAATTCTCATATAAGTAGATCACATAAAATATAATAAGACGTTGTGCAACAACAATTAAATACACAGCACATTACAATAATTGAACCCCATCATCTAAAACATGATGACACAACAATTAATATGTACACCAAAATCAATCACATAATATAAAAATAATTGAATAATCACATCCCGAATTACACAGGTAATGATGTAACAACAATTAGAATATACATCAAAATCTCCCCAAATTATATAAAACACACACACACATACATATAGGATAGAATAGTTCACAAGACGCATCCATACACACCGTAATAAAACAATACGAATACACTACAAAGAATAGTTACACCCTATACACGGATAGTGATGCTGCGACATGCGACGACAATTATGATACGCTCATATAAGTAACGCCCACACCAAAGACACAACAGCAGACAGATCAGAGACGGCGTTCAAGGAGCGGAGCGAAGAGAAGAGGATTGACCAATGTCGCAGTATCATCATATAGCCACATAGCCGCAATACCATTTTTTCTACGCCACACATATACACATAAATCATTTTTTCATCTATTCACCAAGTTTTAACTTAACTTATATTTTACACTCGCGTCTCACAAATATCCAAACACCTAAGTGCTAACTCATATTGTTACGTTCATATTTTTACATTTATAACTGAATCAAATACGTGTTAACTTTATTAAATTCCTTTCCATATTATTCTTATTTCCAACATAAAAAAGAATCCATACTTCAATTCAACCTAAAATCATCAATAAAAGAGGTAATAAATAACGTGCATCTAATCCACAACTCGAGAGTCACAGAAGACAAGCACATTCATATATCCAAACAAGGTAAGTGCACACATATTATGATTAAAGCATGTACTTAAATAATACACACATATACACATAATAACATTTAGTAAAGGGAAATTCTATAAGATAAATTAGAGGCTGAACATATTAAAGATAATCACACCCCACCAAATAAATAAAAACGTAAGATTCATTCTCGTGCCATCGGGCATTACATCTCTCTCTCTAATAATACAGCCCCTAAACCTCTATTCTTATATTTTACCCATTACAAATTTATTAATAAATTATATTAAATACAAATTATAAGTATGATCATTGATTATGTATTATTATGTATGGTACATATTTATTTTTCTTAGTTTTAAAAATTTGATATCTTTAATAAGCATAATATTTTTTATTTTTTTTTAACCTTTTTACACCAATTATATATAAACTTATTTAATTGAAACGAAGTTTTTTAAGGCAAGATGCAGGCTTAGTCGGGAAAAAAGGTTCCTGATGCAATACTATTTTTTATAATATATTAAACAGTTATTTTGTAAAGTGGGAATGTGAATCCCCATAGTGTCGGGGAAAAAAGTGGAAATCCTCAAAAGTGCTGGGCGCGTATATCCATGCACAACCAGACACAAAAATCTATACCACGGTCCTTATAAAACATAAACTTTTGGTTACATCTTATATATATATTATAATCTCCTTGCATGACGCGTAAACATTTTTATTTCATGAAATTGTTTTCGTAGTATAATCTGATTGTTGCATATATTCCTATATAGTGCTTTACCTTTGCCGTGATTACATTTTTTGTGTATCGCGTTTGGTATAGACTAGGTAATTGAAAACGGGTATAACGCGATAGGATTTGAAACAGCTTAATTACGATTACTATTAATAAGATCTGCATATTATGCATTTATAATTATTATAATTTATAAATTATAACAATTTGGTGACTTTAATATCAATTTTAACCATAAAAAATCGGCAACTTTTAAAGCTTTCCTTATGGACACATTCAATTTACATATGATAAACAATAAATATGATAAAAAGAATCTACAAGACTACAACGAGGGATGACACCACTAACCACAGACTATCGAATATCGATGCAGTATTTTCAAGATATTTGGAAAAAATTACATCACAAACATACGTTACATCACAGGCTTGTAATTTTGATTATTGAATATGATTAATATAATATAGTAATTAAATAGTAATAATAATTATTTTCATTTTCATTTATTTTTCACATTTACTTTTATTTTGAATGGTTCCACTAAAATGTATTTATAGTCTATGATATTTGTTGGAAAAGAAACTTTTTTTACAGGGTGTCCCATGACAGCACTCAATTTTTTAGTTTTTTGTATATCAAAGTTTTGGTATAAGTCTTAAGTACATTTTTAACTATTTATATCATTAATTTATTAGAGTTTATATTAAATTATCAACTCTTAATATGTTCATCAAAATCTTGTATGTCCACAGTAAGAATATATTATATATATTTTTTTTTTTATTGAGCTTATTAAGCCCTTAACTATGGCCATTACCTTTTTTTTGTTTGTAGGTGGGGGGACGGTTGGAACGGTTCTATGAAACACGTTTGTATGTGCGGCAATGATTTATAGGTGAAAATCACCCATCTGGGAACTAGCAACACCGGCCGATACTTACACTCTGAGCATTTTCTCAGATGTGTGAAAGGACCCCGCCATACCACACCGTGCCACCATGTATATTATGTTATAATTGCCACTTATAACAACTCCCATTTAAATTTAAAAGAAACATTATAATTACGTTAAAAACATTTTTAAGAACTAAAAGTAATACTTTATGTAATTTAAAGAATATTTTACAAATAAATATGTTGCAACTCTAAAAAACAAAAATCTTCAACACAAATTATTTTGTGTAAAATAATTTATAATCTTAAAACTGCTCTCCCGTAAAATGTTGTGTTTGTGACATACAATTTTTGGCCTCTTATAGCGATCGAATCTTACATGTTTTTAAGCCGGTACAGTTATCTTATGGTTTTAATTAAATATTAATTATTATACAATATTCCAGTTTATTACAAACATATAGGTGGTCCTACGAGTGCAAAGCCTGTGTAGATAACAGTGGCTGCACATGATAATATTGACATTTTCAACCGCCACATTTTTTTATTGGTTGATTAATATATAATTATTCATACATCATTAGAAATTTATCTTATAACTTATATATGTTTGTTATTTCATGATTTATTTTTCTGACCAAGAATTCGGTTATTATAGTTGTTAGTTCGTAGTTCTTATGATAATGCTCGATAGACTTCAGCTCACAATGTAGAGAAGATCTTCTTTAGATCGTGATACATAGATATTATATTATCACTATATCACTATTCATTGGTACACATATCAATCGAATCAAATTTTTTTTTAACGCCCTTTATGCTTGTAAGAATTTTAGCTCGTTAGCTCGTTAGCTTTTAAAACTGTTAAATTATTGATAGGTATTGATCTTAATTTACTAGTTTATTAAAGCCTAAAACTATGACGAAAAATTGGACATCTGTTATGACAGTCTGTTTTGATGGTGCATGTGCCATGCCTGGTAGTACATTTTGGAACAGTCAAAGCTAAATATAAGGTGGAAAATAAAAATATTCTAAAGTATGTTCATTACTATGCTCACTGTATTAATATGCCCCTAGTAGATCATTTATGTGAAAAGGTAAATAGCATCCTCTTTGAAAAATAATGATGAATTAGTTTTTTGGTACTAAACAATTTATTTATATTATTATCGAAGGAAGTACTCCAAGACATGCTATTTTAGAAAATATAATTGCATCATGATCATTCGGTCATAAATTTACAAAAATTGAAATCATTGTCTACTACTAGATGGTATTGTAGGGCCAAAGCTGTAACTTCTGTAAAAACAACTATGCATCTATTTTAACTATTTTAACTAACAATTATACAAATTTAATAAACTAGATGTTTATAAAAATAAAATAAAATAAAAATTCCAAGTAGGAAAATTGAATGAAATGTATATAATATATAATATATGTTTGTGAATGCACAGGGGAGGATTGGGTAGTCTCGGCTCTTCGAAAAATATTTTTCTACCTGCCCATAATTGGCCATATATTAATATTAATAAATTATAATGACTTTCTCACATTTGTTGATAGTATAGTAATATATAGCCGTCATAAAAATTGTAATGCGGCATTGCTAACATTTTATCCTACCAGCCCAAAATGTCAGCAGTCCTTCGAGGAATGTATGTGTGTTTTGTATTAAACGTGTAGTTAAAGTTGTTGAACCTGAAGTGAAATCCTGGGACCGCCTAAGATTACATTATATTATTGTGGTCATAAAATATTAATATGTACGCCGTGCTAAAATTTACAATATTCAAATCTGAGAAAAGAAAAATTACAAATGAATTAATTTAAAAATAATTGTGTGAACTTACTTTTAAACCAGCAAACGGGGTCCCCAATATTAGGTGATAATTTCATTAGCGTTTCGTTTTGTGAATGTTGAAATAAATAACCGGTAGATACGCAAATACTCGAAAATCCCCAACAGTAAATATGGTACATAATGGTGCGTACTGATATTGATGTATTTCTGTTTATTGAAATGTTGTACCTAAATTAAAAATGTGTTGAAAATATTATTTGCAGTTATAATATAATATGAACTGTTATAATTTGTACTTTTAGATTTTAAAAGCATCCCCTTATATTATAATAATATGATATACCGAACACTGGTATAATGCATTAGGTAATAGGTATCTTCTAACTATATAAACGTGAATTGAAAATCTCTATACAGGCTAAACTCTGGAACTACTTATTAGATCTTCTTGATTTATTTTTTTAAACTAAAAAGTATTTCAAGGAGAAGGTTTATATAACAGAACATTTTAGGATAATCCACTGGAAAAGTAAGAAATGTGGATGTCAAAATAACAACAGTAGTGCCATCAGTCCAGAAAAAAATAAACTGAATAATAAAATAAAAATTTAGTTTATTGTTGCAGATTAAAACAATAATAGTGTAAAATAGGTACATTGGTTGCTATTAATTAATAGGGCATGTTTGTTGGTTTTTATTACTATCTTTTGTCAATATATATGTTGCCGGAAATGTTGACATTTAGGAAATGATGACAATTCCTAGTAAATGTTGAAAATTCCTAAAATCGGAATGTTAATTTACTTTGCACACACTTACAAGTCATTTTAATGTCCTCATGTTAAATTGTCCCTATTAATTCCTTAAAACACGACCGACTGGACCCTTAACTGATTATATTAATCCACCGTTGATGGAATTCAATAAAAACGACAAACTTGGTACAACTTTGATACTTTAGAGTTAAATCATACACTTACGTACAAACAGCACAGGATCCGCGATCTACCACAAGTAGATTCCCTACCTGATTATGTACTGCTGCGAATCAGAATTTTTGGTGTATAGACCAAATATTAAATAACCAACTGAACAAAGTTTGAGTAATATACAGTTAATACATTTAACGGGCAACGAAGTGCACGTGATCAGCTACCTAGTAATACTTTATAAGTTAGATAATGAATTTGAAATAAAATATTTTGATTTTGATTTCAACTTTGCTAATTGCAAACTATTAATTTTAGATTCTGAGTGAAACGATGAATGTATTGATTTTACAATGATGTGTGCTTTTTTATTTTTTTTGTGTCTGTGTACACGATAAGTAGTCGAAATAATGCTTCGATTTTCGACTTCAGTATCTTGTTCGATTGGAAAGTGAATATCGTTGGTGCATTGGGGAGGTCAAATCAATTTAAAATTCCAAGTACTTTTCAAAAGCGCCAAGAAAAACAAAAGAAAAATTAAGGAAAAACGGGAATTTTTACGCAAAATCGATTTTTCAGAAAATTGAATTTGGTTTTTGGTGTAACTTTAAAACAAATGACCGTAGATACATGACATTTTCACTGGTTGTTTATACTTGCATTTTCTACACACGATAACATTTTCAAAATATTTTAATTTATTTTGAACTGTTTAGGGACATTTTCATTTTTCATTTTTTTTTAGTTTTTTTTCTAGAAATATCAATAAAATGTTATTTGTTGGTCAAAAAAACTTGAAAATTTAATAGAAGGCTCCTAGTATATTGTTTCAAAGGCAGATGAAAATTATTAAAAATCGTTAGTCACAGTTTTTTTTTTATAAGCATTTAAAGTTCAAAAATTGACAAAATATGGAAAAATCACGAAAATTATCAAATTATTTTGAGTTAAGAATTCGTAAAAATTTTTCTTTTTAAATCTAAGATTTGAAAATGTAATACAAGATTAATCATACATTTTTCTACCTTTATCAATAAAAAAATCTCTACCAGACAGTCAAATTAAATTTTTATGAGCGTTTGAAATTCAAATTTTTACAACATTGGATGTTCACTCGATTTCTCATGTAGCGATTTCCTTATTTGGTTGTTATTCATAAACGAATAACTATAGATACATGAAAATTTCACTGAATGTTTATATTAGCATTTCCTATACACCATACAATTTTGAAAATATTTTGACTTTTTTTGAGCTGTTTACGGATATTTTTATTTTTCAATTTTTTTAGTTTTTTTTTCTATTAATATCAATAAAGTTTTATCTGTTGGGCCAAAAAGTGTAAAAATTTAATACAAGGCCCTGATATATTGTTACAATATCAGTTGAAAAATATTAAAAATACATAGGCACAATTTTTTTTTATAAGCATTTAAACATCGAATTTTTCAAAATCTCGACAATTATTAATCATCGTAATTAATAAATTATAAAATGTTCAGTTTTTATAACTAAGGATTGAAAATTTAAAACAAGATTCCACGTAAGTAGTTAATTCTCTTACCGAAAAATCTAAAAAATATACAATCACAGTTTATTTTTATAGTCATTTTATGTTCAAATTTGGACGAAATTACATATTAAAAAACCTAGTTATTTTGTTGTGATTATATAATATTATTCGTGGGTACCTACTTGAAACTTCTAAAGTGTACTATTATATATCTATGATAGTATCAGGGTTTGTTATTGATGTTGATGTATAACGTGTTATAAGTACCTAATGGATATTGTGATAATGTGATATGATTTTGGAATTTATTATAGGTCAATTTTTTTTTTAATACCATAGATATGTATATAATTTGTCTTAAACCTATACTGACATACCGTCTTCGCTCAGAATCGTTTTTCTTATACAATGATATTGTATCATTGAATTCAAATTTAATAGCATCCATTATACAGTGACCCACTTGTAACCTACTGTACAACAGAGCGACATCCACTTACCCACCTTTTTATTATTATTATTATTATAATTATTATCATATAGCTTAAAACCCCATCATTGCTTATAGACGCATAACAATTATAGGTACTAATTGAATACGTATATGTACAAGTAAATAAATTCATTTTTCGATTAAAAATTCGCTTTTACATTTTTACGATTTTAGTTTTGATTTCAGCCTACGAGTCATAAGTATGATCGTTTCATATAATATCCTTGGATGTTAAACGGTTCTAAGAATACAAAATTTCCTACTGATTAACAATTATTAATTGTTTGACTTTTGTGGAATTTTAATTTTTAATTAAATTTATTTTTACAATTTGTATCGATTTTTAAAAATTATCACACGATTATTATTTTGATTTTAAAAGTTTCAATTATGATATTGTTGCTATTGATTTCATAGATTAATTTTATTTATATCGATAATCTAATAATAAACTACCTATATAGCAATAATTGGTATTATAATAAATATCCTATACGCATAATCTATACTATAAAAGTCTAGATTTTATGTTGGCTCCGAAATGGCTTGACCGATTTTTCTGATTCATTTTTTGTTATGTTCGTAATCGTCAGGACAAAGTTCTTATGAAAGAAAACTTTATGAATATTAGGAAATCTGGATGTCAAAAATACAACAGTGGCGCCAACTGTACAGGAAAAAAATTAACTAAATAATAATATATTTTTGTTTTTTGTAAGGTTGCTATTGGTTATGTTGTTGTAGTTTTAGACACTTTTAGTTGTTAATTTTGAAGAATTTTATTGAAATAAAAAGAGGAAATGACTCAAAATCTGGACTTCTTTTTATAGTATAGAACGTCAATAATAAATTGTTAAAATATAATATATAGTTCTAAATGTAATATCTATTAAGTGTGGCATACAGGTATCTAGGATTATTGCCCTTTCTTACGATACCAACTCATTTTGGTGCTAATGACTTGTTTCTTTTGTAGGTAAGTACATTACTGGGTAGGAATTTCACACACGACTTTATTTCCTATAATAATTGATATTTATATGCATTTTTCCGATTATTTTTTATTCCAAACGATTACATACCTTTTTTAATATACGATCATATGTGGTTCTTGACAAGTCCAGGGGGGACTGAAAATACTTGTAAAAAAAAAGAATATACATATCTATTTTCAGGGCCTGAAACCGTAAATATTTTTTCAGATTTTGATTTTGGTTTTGGTATCGATTTCGGTTATTAACGGTTTTAACCGGTATTCAAAATCGGTATCAAATATCGGTTTCAAGCCCTGGTTTTTTTTACTGTTGATGGGACCATGATCAGTAATTTTATACATATGAGCTTTTATTTACTTTTATTTTATACTTCATATATATAGGTATGTTATGAAATAATTTCATTTATAGATTATCAATGTTTTACGTTCTGAGGACTTAGAGTTTCTTCAAATTTAAACATTTGCACATGCCAGGGAGTGGGGCCACCCACCGCCGTCCACCATAACAATAAAACCGACACTGGTTAGATATGACAGTAAAAATACCCGTCCAAGGTATAATAAATATTAAATTAATTTTATGAAAATGTTTACCTACACTATAATATAACAATAATATTATGTAATGCACAAATATGCAGTGAGTGGTACCATTTATGTTCCCAATCCACACTCGTAAACTTAAAGAATTATGGTGATATAAAACGATTTATAAGTCTTATCCCGTAACAGGATAATAATTCTAATAGAAAATGACAAGTTTTAGTTATTACTTATAAGTTCAATGGAATCGGGAATTTTGAAAAGGCTCATAACTGAAAATTAAAATTTTTCATTAAATACAAAAAACCGAATTTCTTTTTAATTTTGTTTTTTATTGTAACAATTTTTTATTCTAAAATTATTGACTATTATTTGATAATATTATGCCTACGTCATATAATATCCTCGAAGTGAACATTTAAGTAAAAATTTAATTGGAAAAGTGATTCATTAATTTTTCCGAGATGAGTCATTTTCAAAATTTACTAGGATTACAGGGATTTAAAATTGAACCAGATATGAGCCCTTTTCGCTCATAAAATATCGGTCTATATAAGTAAATGAAAAAGACACAGAAACGTATATTTTGATAAAAACTCGTGGTGGGTCCTTTTCGAAATTTCCAATTCAATTATAATTACTTATATTGCTTACTTATTTGTAGCTAAGAAGCTTAAAACACCACATGAATATACACATTATTGTTTTACACATTTTTTAAAAATATTATGTAAGAATATAATTTACATACCTTAACATCCAGTAAATATCGAAGCATATTACGTTTAACCAGCAAAGTGATGTCAGAATTGAAAAGAATGTAAAATAACCTAAAATTACACTGTAAATTAATTCAAATTACATAAACAAAATATAAAATAATAATTAATAGTTAATAAAATATGGAAGCTAAAACATATATGCCGATAAGACAAAAAATATCGGAAAAATTCATATTTATTGTTGTTTAGTTTTTAGATGCATGAACGGTTAGATTCGTGAAGTTGCCCCTTCCCCACATTGCAATATTCACTTCAAACTTTAATCCAATATTTTTGAACTTATTTGGATCTAATTGAAACTTAATTTTCCGTGTTTGAAACTTCATACTTTTAACAGTAAAATGTATGTCGGTTGGCCCATTTTAACTATAATTTATTAAGTTCCGACGATCTTCATATATAGTTATATCTTATTACCTTCTATTATTCCCAAAGTATTCGAATCTGTTATTACGCCGGAAATTATACTGATCGTTAACTTTTACATTTGCTAAAACAGGTAGGTATGATTTTTGCTGCAATAATAGATTCGAATACTTTGGGAATAATAGAAGGTAATAAGATTGGTCGGTAATTGGAGATATTAAAGACATGTCTGATAATGATTTTAGTACAGGGTGAATAACACTAATTTCTCATGCATCAGGGAAAACGTAACAGTAGAAACAGGTATAACATATATAATAAGGGCGTAGAAAAAAAAACATAAGTACAGATTTTGAAAAATATACTTGGAATTAAATCAGGTCCTGGGCATGAGCTAGAAGACAGTGAGTTAAGTGAATTAAAAATATCAAGTAGGCTATTGTACAGGAGTGCAAAGGAGATAGAAATACTTTTGGTTTATTTTGCTGGTTATAATTTAAATTAATATTATTGTTACCTATTATACACATTAATAACAATAACTATTATACCTAAATTATAAAAACATTGAACTAAATATAGCCTTAAAATAATATAGGTAGTAATGTAACAATAATCAGTAGATCATATTGGTTGGTAAATATTATAATAATTGATAGTTAAGATAATAAGAAAAAAGAAAAAGTAAAAAGAAATATAATAATATATAAAATTAAAATCGAATATTAAGATTTGTAATAGTTAAACATTATAGAAATTAATTTTCATTATTATTATATTTCCTATGAAACAGGCATACACTATGAATGAAAAAAAAATAGTGAACAAAAAATATTTTCATAATTTACTACTAATAGGAACACTAAAATGATAACAGCTTTTTTTTAATTATTTTTAATTTCAAACACATGTTAGTGAAATAATAGTTTTGAATCAAAAATTACACCAATAAGGTATTTTTTAGATGTCCGATTGAATAAGTGATTAGATAACTAATCATTGATAGTTAGATGAGGTTATGTTTTTCTAGAAAATATATAGAGTGACATTTATTTAGATTAATAGCCAATCCATTACAGTTAGGTACACCAATTGTTAGTATTATCACTATCTAAATTATTTTGTGAGAGTATTGTATTTTCTTGACTATTGTTTAGTTTTAAAAAAGTGTTGCATCATCAGCAATGATCAAAATATAAGAATAATTTAAAGCTTAAAAAATATCATTAATAAATAAATTAAAGAAAAAATGTGAGAGTTGGTCACTTTGGGGAACACATGACGTAACGACATACTATTAGAAATAAAATTGTTGTATTTAATAAACTGTGGTCTACTAATTAAAATTGAGTGTACCTAATCAAGATATAAGAGAATAAGCAAAGACATATTTTTCGAGTTTCAAAATTTAAAGCAAGTGGTAAATTCGATCAAAGAGCATTAGTCTTCTGATTATTTGAAAATTAATTTAAATGGACATTTTATAATTTATCACTGATCAAGTTGGTAATTGTAGGGTTTTTTTACAAAATTAATATTTTTGTAGGCTACTTATACTATATGGTATTATAAAAAAGAGAAGAAATAGTTTAAAATTCGTAATTGATGTTCAATGCATAACGTGATATTGCCACATTTAACGTCAAAGCAAAACGTGGTATTACATGTTCAATCATATTCAAGTCAAAACGTATTATTGCCTATGTTATTTGTATTGAGACATACTTGTTATCATTGCAAAACGTGGTACTGCTTATATTACATTTTTCTTCAAAACGTAGTATTGCTGGCAATAATGCGTTTGGCATCAACAGAAATAAGATAAATAAATTTATAATTTAAATAATTTTCCCTTTCCAAAACCTGAAATACCAAGTTTTGGCCTATGAACACTTTTTTAAATTATTAAAACTAAGTTTTAAACTCAAAATAGATTAATTTTGACACCGCCAATCGTTTTTTTTTCTTTTTCTCATTTGATTAAACCAATTACAAGTATTAATTCATGTTGTAAAACTTGATTTAGTTTTTCTTAATTTGTGAAAATTTTGATTTTTGGCAATACCACGTTTTGGATTATCATCCATCAATTTTAAAGAAGTTGTAATGATAGATGTATAGGATGATAGTTATATACTATAGATTTATTTATTAATCTTTTTTTTAATAGCATTTTTATATTTTTGGGGGATTTAATATCCTATCTGTTAGTTTTTTAACCCCGGATTTGTTATACAATAAATACTTTGACTTGGATGTTTTTTTTACAAAATATGTCCTTGAAATGTTTTCCCAAAACCATTTATTACTTATTAACCAGCTGGTGTCTTTAGAATCTTAGATATATTGGTATATTGTGTGGTATGTAAAAATGTGGTATTAATTAATCAAATAATGATAACAGTGTAGGTAAGACATACCGTATAGAACGCATATGTGGCCTTTAAGGTCTTCTGTAAACCACTGGCTTGCGTACATGGACGACGACACGAGCTCGCAGATCATGTAGAACTTGACGTAGTAGTTGCGGCTGTTCTGGAGGCTGGGCAGTATGTTGTAAACGAGTAGCGTGAGTACCAGGCACACGACAGACGCCATGTCACTAGCCCGAATGAAAATGTACACCCAGCTGTTCCGTATGTCGTCGCCGCACACGAACGCCTGCAGGACGGAGTCCACCTGTGCACTGGCCTCAGCGTAATAATCTACGCAGTACAAGACGTCCGGTACGCGTTGGCGGTCATCGGTAAGGTAAAGGCTGCCATCCGTGGTCAAAATGAACCCGTCCTTTACCATTTGTTTCGTGAAACAACGGGGTTCGTCGTTGTACGGCAGCACCGTGCTGTTCGACCGGCCAGCAGTACGGCCGTCCGCGTCAGTTTCATAGGCGAACATCGTGAACGGCTTCTCGCTCTGCTTGCACTTCCGACCACTGCATAATGTATTATACTCGTTAGCGTAATTATGGGGAGAGAATGCTCCAGTGCAATGTAACGTTTACCAGTTATTAAAAATATATGTTATAAATTATATAAAAAAAATTATAGTGTGATATTATATAAACTATATTATTTGTTATAAAAAAAACCTGTGAAAGTATAGACTATGCTTAGAAGGAATAGTCGTCGAGTGAAGGTAGTTAATTATTGTCTATTTGCAAGTGGATGTGTTAAATTTGATTTCAGTGATTTATCGTTGATTACAATAAACGATTCTAAGCAAAGACAGTCTGTTAGCCAATATTTAAAAAGATATTTTATATTTTAAAATTAGTTATATGGTAGGTTTACTTACCAATACTTTGAAAATGTTATATTATCAATATTGGAATTTCTATGGAAGAAAAGGTTCCTCATACCTACGTTTTTTTGTACCTAATTAAAATTTAAGTTTAGTGTATATTTATTTTATTATCCATATACAGTTTCGGCGAGTGTTTGAGATTCAAATTTTCTCAAAATGGGATATTTAAACATAAAACAATGATTTTTCATCAAACAATTTTTATTATTTTGCTGCAATTCAAAAGCCAACGGACAATTATTTAATTTAATGGTTCAATAAAATATAATAGTTCAATCATGGGTTACAAAATCATGTCCAAGTGTTCATTTACTTAAGTAATTGTTCAACAAATCGTTACACGGAAACCTTGTCGTTATACGGAAACCGATTTTGCAGCTCGCGTGCATGGCCACCCATTCACACGGCCAATTTTCATTTTGCGATAACACAGCTTCTGAGATTCCCAGGACTTAGGTCTTGGGCTTTTAGGAACCATGTTGTCCATACGAATCTAACGATTCCCTCCTCCCCTGGAAATCCAAAATTTTGGAAATTTCCAAATTATCAAACTCAACATATTAGCGCGTCTCACACGACCTAGGTGGCTGGCAGTGGTGTTGGCAGTTTCGTCTTGCCGGGACGAATCCGTGAATACCACCCACGTACCTCTGAGGGAATCACAGGGTGAGTAACAATGTTTTAACACGTGAATATACATATAAACTCACGGAGGCGATACCTGTTTGCGTGTGCAAAACCCCGATAAGCCACCGTAGCATCAGGTGGTGCTAATTTTGACATGGATGATTTCAACCTTGAGCCTACCTCCAAGATGGAGGTAGAGACTGCCGTCGCAAAAAATGCCATTCTGGCGACTGCCACTTTATCGATTTCGGTTACCTCTATGTGGAGGTTAAAGAACGAATGGCAGGTGGCAAAGGTTAGAGTACCAAGATCCAACAAACCCACCGAGGTCAGCTACTTCAGGGTTGACTGGACCAGCTGCAGGTTCAGAATCCGCCACCCAGATGCCACAAAATGCTTCAAATTCGGTTACGCCCAGGGCAACTGCTCGACTCCAGACTTGAAGGACGCATGTCGGAAATATGGGGAGAAATCCCACAAGGGAATGGAGTAACCTCAGGCCTCAAAGTGTGTAACCTGCCATCGAGCTGGGCTTAAGTGAGACCCGCACAGACCTGGATCAGCAGCCTGCAAGGCTAGGTGTGCCACCGAGGCATGGCGCTCTGGCAACCGACGCAATGATTAACTTCATCCAAGTCAACCGGCGGTGTCGGCCGTTTTGTCTCACCGGGACAAATACATGGATACCACCCGCTTACCTCTGAGGGAATCACATGGTAAGTAACAACGCTTTAACATTTATATAGACTATAGGTATAATTACTCACGGCGGCGATACCTGTTTGCGTAAGTACCGCGCCTCGCGAAGCTGCGGCTATCTCACAAGAGCTACAGGAGGAACCCCGCTGGCGAAAGGGAAATACGACACTACTACGTGCTCAGAAAACCCTACACACTTGCGGACAATGGAGATATATTCATGGTCACCGTAGATGGTGATATCTTCAAACTGGTTCAGAAAGATCGGGGGGCGCAGACCAGGGACGAACCCGGATCTTCGGGTAACGCCCCTAGGAAGAGGTCTAACTGCGACGGTCAGTCATCGATGAAATTCTATGGGCGTGTCAACTATACCCAAATCGACACTACCGTCAAGGACACCCACAGGACGGTAGCCATCCAGCTTTCAGAGTTATCGTAGGATACCCAGAGCAGCAATCGTTATCAGCATATTTGGACTGACTCAAAGAGCCCCCAGAACCGTGACGTGCGGTGTCCCTTAGGGAGTGGTCCTAGGACCCACCCTGTGGAACGTTGCCTACCAGGACCTTCTTAGCATGTAGGTACCACCGGTCATTTACCTTTTAGGTTTTGCAGCCGGTTTGAGAAAAGGACCCTCTGAATGAGATGTCTGGTGGCACTTAGAATTATATTTCATCATAAACAATGATTCATTGGTCATTGAATTAAAATATTTTGAAAATTTATTCGTGTATAAAAAAATAATAATTTATGTAAAAGTAGAATGTTTCAAGTAACAAAAATCGTTTGTAGAGAAATCGGTATTTTATGTGTGAATATCAATTATTATAATTTGAGCTTCAAACACTAATAAAAAATGAACTTGTATTTACTTTAAATTTTGTTTTGTAATTTCAGAAAGAAAAACTTATATGCATCTTGTTTTAAATTTTCAGGACTAAAATGTTAGTTTTTTTTTTTCGTGGTGAAAAGTGAAACAGCTAGGAGGAACATTGAATCTGAAATTTGGTGAAAACTGACTTGTAACTTGGAAATATTGTGAATTAATACATAAGTATAGGTTAGTATAGATATCATGATAAAACATAATAAAGTATAAGGTTGTATAGGTATTATGAGATGATTTAGTTGTTGTACATTCAATCAGTCAAACTATTATGTTAGAGTAGGTATCTAGACGAAATAAAAATATCTTGTATCACAAGATCATGAAACATGATAACATTTTTCTTTCCTCTTTGTCTGGAACTTCGGAGTATTGTAAATGTTTACCGAAAATTTATATTTCTATATACAAAGTATAATAATAAGATACAAAATAATAAATACCTACTAAATACTATATTAAGTTTACCAACCAACAATAATATTAGTATACCTTATACATATTTATCAAATTATTTTGGTACAGTATAATTCCCTGTGGATTCAAGACTTTTTTCTTATTCACGTTGGTTAACCCTACGATACATATTATAGAGAAATTTAATATAGTAGGTTTATATAAAATGTGGAATAATCATTATAGTTTTGTCTTTTACAATAGTTATAAAGTAGATCTTGTAGAATATACATACAATGGTGGTAAAAGTAGTCCGATCTCTATTATTATTACGATCAAGAAAATAGGTTTGATATGGATTCAATAATTTAACAAACACTATTGGATAATATCGCATTCAAAACAACAACTATTCATACCTAGTGTTATTGTATTATGACAAAATGCAAAACGTTACTGATAAGTGATAACCGTATGCATAGTACATTTATGTAAAGCATAGAGACAGATGAAGATAAAGAATATTTTTGATATCTAGATAAAGATAATTATAAAAATTATTATCTAGATAACAAAATAAACATATTTTAATTTTTGAGTACCAATAACTAAAAACTGGATATTATTAGTATTGATAGGTGAAGATGATTGTTTGCTTGTAAATAAAATATCATCTTCCAAGATCTGACTTATTGAACTAAATTTACTATTTCATAAGTAAAGGTTAAATGCATGATGTTTAGCCTATAAAGCTGAATTATTATAAAAATATTTAGCACTTATTTTATATATAAACGCAAATAATTGTCAGTTATTGTATCTTGTTGGCCAAAATTGCAAGTCTGTGTGATTGTATGTTATGTTGTTAAATAACCAAAAACATGCGCAGTGCACACTTCTGCATAATACTTTTTAATATCATATTATGCAGCTTATGCTGTTTAAAATAATTTCGGTATTCGGGCAAAGCCGATCAAATCTATGTATATAAAAATACCTATAGAACATTTCGTTGAAGAATTCTCATTTCTTTATAAAGTGGGTTTTTTCGAATTATATAGGGACATTTTTTTAGATACACTCAACACTGGACATTAAAGACTTATTATAGAAAAAAAAATAATAATTACATACTTAATATTATAATGTTATGTTAATTTAGTAAGATTATCATAGTCACAAAATCGAAACTGAAAATATTTAAAATAAAATGGACGTAGGTATAAAATGGATATAATACAATAATCTGGGACAGGTTTTTGATTCAAGTTCAAACCAGTAATCCCAGATGTTCTAACTTATAATATTATAATTCTGTGGAATGATGGCAGAAGCTGCAATATGTACATTATGTTAATTTTTTAATTATCATTTAAATAGTTTAGAAATCGTATATTTCAAGTGGTGAAAAAATGTGATATGTCTCTCTTATATGTGTGGTGCCATTTATTTGCAAAGACCAAAATTGATATGTCATTATTTGAAAATAGGTACATGTTGGGGCAAAACTAAGTTTGTAAAATGTAAATATCAGATGCTCCCATATTTATACAGAATATAATATATCTACACAAATGTATCGTATTAACCCTCATAATGTACCAGTAGAATTGAGCAAACATTTTTTAAATGTTTGACTTATTTATTTATTCATTTATAGTTTATACTTTATACCGATCTTAATTTAATCAGGCGAAACTAAAAAAAAAATAAAGATAGCGACATTTCAAAAACTACAGCTTTTTAAAATTATTGCACATTTTGTGTGAAGCAGCGATTAAAAATATTGATAAAAATATATTTATCGTATCTGCCTATATGGATTACAGCACAAATATTGAAAGGTGCCGTATTTAATAGTAGTTTTTCAAATTATCATGTACTTACCCATAATACAATTCATACAGTTTTTATGACCTTATGTTTGAAAATCTAACACTAGATTCTCTCAAAAGTTATTTACTTAAATTATAACTTTCTATCCTCAATTTAAGTATTTAAATTTTTTTTAGATATTTATAGGTATTTCTGTAGTGTTTATAAAATGTAAGGTCCGCTAAGATACTTTACAATTTGATACAAGATCCGACATTAATTTTTCTCTGTGCAGTTGAAATGTATTTAAAATACATTAGGTGTACTTAGGACTTGCCAATGAAATACAAAGTTCCTCAAAAATATTTCATACTGGAACTAAAAATACATTAAATAGACATTGAAGTTTAAATTTATACAACATTAGATATTTAAACGAAGAATAACGATTTTAAATATTTTAAGTTTATTGGGTATTTATACGTTGGGTATACCACGAACCTCACACCGTTGACCAATCTATGGAAAGTTTGAGTAGACTAAAAGTGAATAATAATCTAATATAATAATAACATTAAACACATAAATATATAGGTTAGGTTAGGTTAGATGTAATGTTTTCAAAAAGAATAAATTCAACCTTACAGCAGAGCAGTTACTGCAGTTATCTAATTCCTCACTTTTATAATTCTTCTCGTACTTAAAGACCCAAATTCATCCTAATAATGTAGGTAGCAGCTTTCATTGACACCCGAATAGGGGGGGGGGGTGCCAAGAGGGCCATTCACCCGGGTGGGATTTTATCTTGCGGGCGCACTTGGTAGCTCTCAAAGATAAACATGACAAATACCTTACAACAAAAGGACAAACTCCGTGGATGCTTTCTCCGTGTATAAAATTTATTGGTCAATATACCTATAACCTCCATACTACTTAGGCATAATAATATTTATAGAAATTTTTACAAAATATATTGAACCACCCAACACCCACCCACTAAATTAAGTCTGGCACTTCCCAGACTTTAACTTTGTTTTGGGCACTATACCGTGTGAATATATATACAAATTCCAAATTTGGCCAATCAGGACCACTTCTAACCTCCACCTCCACCATCCTGTAATGATAGACACTCTTCATAAATAGACTAGTCTAAAAAGAGTTTAATCATCATAACCCTAACATATGCCTATATTAGATTCTGATCGGAGCGAGGAAGCTAGTGGTTTTACAATGGTGTTTATTTATTTTTTTTATATCCTGTATACAAAATTTCTATCAGAAGGAATCCTTCGGTTTCCACATATAGTATCTTATCTTTTAGAAAATTGGATCAATATTTTACTTTAGAGAGGTCATTTTTCGATTTTATTAATAGTTATTTAATTCCACGGTAAAAACCACCGAAAAATTACGAAAAACCGCTAAAAATTGGATTTTAATTTCTAACGCTTTATTTATTACCATAGAAACGAATAAAAAATAATAATATTATTATATTAATTCAACTTATATGATATAATAATTAATGACATTATTAAATATCTAGTCTGACAAACCGTTTTCGCACAGAATCGTTTTTCTTATACAATGATAGAATATCATTCAATTCAAGTTTAATACAATCCATTATACATTGACGCACTTGTAATCTACTGTACAGCAGAGAGACATCCACTTACCTGCTTTTATAATATTATATACAACCACACAGATGTTCATATTATAATCTGTGGTCATAAACTATTATAACCTAGGTATTTTTTTGTTAAATAAACTGTTTTATCTGCTCGGACGATACCCAACGACCATCGGTCCGATCCACACAACAGCACTTTCAATGCGTATACCCTCTGTGGTGTACCTACGTGATGGGGGATATAATACATGTTCAGTATACCTAATATTTGTGTGTCTTGATTAATAATTGTACTTTTTATCTTTAATATATTAATTGTGTTCTCGATTAATACTAATAGTTATAATTAAATCGACTTTAAACCTATTTATTTTTCCTTCGCACATCGATTAAATAACAAGTCTGGAGTCGAATTAGGGTAAGTTATTATAATTAAATCCTTATATTATATATATGTGCTTATACGCGTATACACACATATATACATATATATGAGAAGGGGGTAATTTAGAATGTGTGCGCAATATATATATTAATAGTAAATAATATATAAGTAAAAACAGATAAATAGTAAATAAGTATAATATATTGCATGCATATCCTATTTTCACATTACCACGGCACCAGCTGCAGCTATCGATAAGCTCGGTATAACAAATTATATACTACTTTATATTTATACATAGACCGCCATAGACGGTATACTTACTCGTCGTCGATGACATACATCTGGTCGCACTTGCAGCACTTGTTGACGCACGTGTAACCGTCCCTGCCGCAGTACTGGTCGCGTAGCCGACAAGTCCGCGCCACCAGCTCATCGGTTGGCGTCATGTCAAAGCAGTAGCCCGGTGGCAACTCGATGGCCGACGAGTCCTCCTCCATCATCCCACGCACCTCCACGGCGGGCACGTCAACTAGCACTTGCGTGGCATCGCACTTTGGCTGCTCATAATCGTAACCCACCATCACCGCATTGGCCACCACCCGGAATCCGTCCCTCAGTCGCCGCATCATCTGCCGCAGATACTTGTCGTCGTCCACATCGGCTGGTCCGCAGAACCGCACTTCCGGATCGTACGGTTAGTCCGGCGGGCAGCACTTCCGGACCGGCAAGGCTGTCCGGTTGTCATCGCACGTGCCGCCGCCGATCGCCTCGACAGTGTGGAACTTTTGATTTTCGTTCTGGCAGTATGCGACTCCGCTGCCGCTAGAGACTGAACTACTGTTACAACAGACCACAGCGTCGGCGACTGACCAGTCGATCTCGACAACGAGAAACGCGACGATGGCAGCGAAACACGATCGGATGGTATTCATCGTGTACGCACACTGTTTGGGCGGCGTTGCACGGAAAAAAATAGTTGGTTGATTTAACTAAAATTATATGTATACTAGCCGTAAAATCTAGTTCCATATGGCATAGCCCTACATTTAGTTGCAAATACCAAATGGTTATAGTTGCAAGATTAATAGTTAATTTGACTAAAATATGCAGTTGCTAATTTTTCTTACAATATTATTTAGTTAAATCAACTATAATTTTATTGTAAATATATAGTAAACACAACCATAAAATGTATTAGTCTTACTATAGCATCAGTCAAATTTACCAAGCTTTTTTTTCTGAAACAGCTAAACATTTTAGTTGGCAATTTCTCTAACTAAATATTTAGTTAAACCAAACGATATATTTGTTTAAATTTATAGTAAATAGAACTAAAAGTTTTATAGTTTTTACTATAATTTTAGTCAAATTTACTAATTATTTATTTTTGGAATAGCTAAAAAAATATAGTAGATTTTTTCAACTATTGGAAATGGTTTAATTTAAACTACTATACTTTTAGAGGTGACCAAGTAGGTATAGGAAAAAGAAAGTATAAGGATTTGCTGTAAATATAGTAAATAATATATTATATATACATTAAAAAAAAAAACAGATTTATAAAACATAATAAAATATTTATTAATAAAAACATGTTTTTTTACACATTATAATTTCATAACATTTTTGTATAACATGTGATGTTTATAAAGGTATATAAGATAAATTATTTGATAGGACACAATGAACAGTGGGATGTACACTGTCTAATTTTTCAACCGAACAACATAATAATTTTTCAGTTAATTGTACATTATATGCTTGGAAATGTTCATCAAAATAATTATTTTCATAAATCTTACAAATAATAAATGGTATATTATCAGCTTGAATAAATATAGATATTATTAGTCCAAAAATTGGTAATATATTTGGATTATCACTTAAACTAACTAGAATAGACATATTATTACTATTATAAGTGGTTCCTTTAAAATAATCCACGAAACAAATATTGCATCTTCTAAAAATTCAAAAGGGGAACATAAAAATTCAACTTTACTATACTCAAGCCATGTGGTTTCCGAAAGAGTTATTTGATGACCGAACTGCATATCAATAATATTATTATTTGATGACAAAACTCTGTATGCTAAACTAAGTTGGTGTTTCAATGCCAAGGTATAAGGGGAGTTCTTACGAGATGTAATTGATTTAGCAGTTTCCTTAAGCTGTTTATGTTTGGATTCAAAACGCATAGACCAAAGTGATGACAATGGTCCACACTGTTCCATAATATAAGGATAGTGTATCATATGATGGAATTTGGGTTTGAGGTGGGTGTTAAATAATTGAATATATAACTCATGGTGCTCTTTTATTAAAACTTTACAGAGTTTAATGTCTTCTACTTTGAGGCATTTTCCTAAAAGAATGTCTATGATTTGTTTTAAAGTAACATATAAACACCAATATTTTGAATGTAAGGGAACTAATTCACCAATAATTAATGCTAAATTCTTTGTGAAACACAACATTTCAGAAGCAGACATCTTTATTATACCGCGTCTTAATGATTCATTTGATAAAAGTGGAGGTCTATTACGAATGTTAATAGGTCCATAGTTAAACGATTCTATCCTGTCATTAAGGATATCAATAGTAAAATAATTCAAGTCATATATCATAGTTTTTAACATCATACCAATATCGTATTTGCAAACACCCTCTAGGATATCATGCATGATATCAACAGCATAATTTTTGGTGACATGAAATGAGTTAATTTCGTTAAAAATGCAAAGCTGTTTTATTCCAGTGAGGGTTAGGTCATTAACTGCAACATCATCAGAATAGTTAACTTCGTTTCTTAGATTATTATCGATTTGTTCTACCTGATGTTGGCATTCAGTCTTATGAGACTTGCAAAATCTACATGGAAAATTAGCTATAAAACTCTCTGAAAATCCTAGCATGGAATGTAAACCTAAATTATCACCTAAAATCAAACCCAGAGAGAAAAAAACTTTGTTGATTTTACCATTATAAAGAATATCGATTCCAGTAGTCTCTAAAAATTTGAGCTCAGAAGTAAGTTCTGAAAAAACAGCATGGTTCCCATATTCTTGCCTATCTTTAGATTTAAATAATGATACTAAAAATATATTTTCTAATGAGGAAGAATATTCAGGAGGTAGACACGCTAACGAAGCATAAACAGCACCCAGCTTATTGTTACCTGCGTGGGATCCTAGAGCATTGTTAATTTCGAAGTCATCAAAATATATAAATAATGGCAAAATAAGTTTTTGGGAATTGTCTTTCAGTTTACTTTGCCACAGTTGAGATTGGACAAAATTACTTATACATTTTTTTGAACTACATTCCAATTGTTTCATATATTTAATTACTATCTCAAACAGATTACAATCTTGCAAAATTATTTTAAGTACAGATCTCAGAGGAATAACAGACATTTGAACTGGTTTTGGCTCAAATAAAACATGACCTCCCATCATTCTATCGGTTAATCCACACCCAATATCTACCATTTTAGGTCTAACAAGAACACCCATTTCATCTAAAGCTTTAAAACGCATATGTTCAGAATTTATATTAGAAAAAGGATTTTCAAGGGAATCAAACATAAGTAACATATCTTTAAATAAATTAATTTCAAAATTGTTAAGACTTATAATATCGAGGAGTTTTTTTTTTAAAAGAGATAAAAACGAATGATTAAATTGTTGTATATCATCAAACAAAACTTGTATTATTTTTCTGGGAATCACACTATTATTATACCACTTAGATGCCAATGATATTGAGTTATAACGCAATGTATTATTAAATTGTTTAATTGTAATTGATTCTGTACAGTGATGACTTGAAGGGATGTCATCATTTAAAACTGGGCAACTGACAAAGTGTAGAGCTGAAGTTTTGTGTTCTTTAGTAAAATTCAAATACTCATTAGAAGTTGAAACATCGGGTAAGTTTGTATGTTGGGTCAAATGATTTTTATATGAGTGAAAAGTAGTCAAAACTCTACAACAATTAGGTTCCAAACATTTAAACTCCATCAAAGATTTTGGATCGTGAAAAATATTTAAATGAGTGATTAAATTAGAATTTAAACTGAATGTTTGGTTACATATAAAACACATAGGCATAATGAGTGTTTTACTTTAGTTTTTTATGTAAATATTAATTTAAAAAAAGATAATACTTATATCAATAAGAATAACAAAAAAAAAGTAATTCGATACAATATATTAATTGTCTGTTGTTACACTTTTAAGTAGATAAGACAAAATTGAAGTTAAATTATGAATAACAAAAAGAAATCTTTTTAATCATATAAGTAAACACTACAATATATTTTAAACAAATATCAATCATAATTTATGAAAATCATTAACTAACGTTTTTACAGACAAAATGGATTTGTCGGATTTAAGTTTAATTTCAAAAAAATAATGTTGTATAAACAACCATACCTGTTCACATTCAGTAGGATAGTGAACATTCAATGAAAAGAATGACTTAAAACATACATCCACAGCCTTAATCAATGTTTCCAATTTGTAGTATGTATTATCAATCACGACAAAAAATTCAGTTGAATCGATAACAATTACATATGGCTGTAACTTTAACCCATATTCAAAAGCTTTGTCTACTTTAACCTTATGTGCTATTTTTAATTCACCAACATCCTAAAAAAAAATCCATCAAATTTAATTTAAGAACTATTTTAAATTAAATCATGTTTAATACTACTTACAGATATAAATGTGATAAATGCAGCAGCTTGCTCTGCTTTAGATGGTCTCCAAACTGATGTTATCCCATCAATTTTACGTTTTCCATTTAACTTTACCGTTAATGGTTGAAATAAGAGTGGCAGTAATTTAAAAACTGCTGTGTATTCGTTACCTTAAAAAATACATAGTATCAATTTATTTTAAGAAAGTTAGAATAAACTGATAAGTATAATGTATAATTTCATATTGCTAAATGATATAAGATTTTAATTAATTAAATATTTACCAGGCTTTGATGGAGTTTGCAGTTCTTTTAAAATACTAGGTCCTTGGATTCCAAATTGATAATTAGCACTTTTAATATGTTCAATAAGCTTTACTACAAAAACATCTATTTTATTTAATAGTTTGAAATCTTTTTCAGGATATAAATGTTTAAAATCAAGTTCAATCTGAAATAAATATAAAACAATAACAGATAATATAGTATTTTAAAATTAAATAAATTAAAGAAAATTTTTTTTAAAAATTACAGAGCATGTCTATAATAGGTAACTAGCTTAAGTAAATTGAATTAATTGAGATTGTAACCATTAAAATGCCACACATATTAAGTAGGTAATCAAAAAGGTAAATATTTGCTTTTAGTTGTTAAGAGTATGCTACTAGTTAGAATTTTAAGGTTAAAATCATAGGTATTATGTATTTAACTATTTATATTAATATTTAACAAAAACTAACCAAAAAATGGCCTAAAGGTCTGTTTAGAGCAGGATATAGTTCCATTGAATTATGTTTTTTATGATGTCGATATCTAACTGTTTCTACCCAATATGTCTGAAGAGTTTGGCTTGGTTGAGTATTATTTTTGAGCCAAAGAATTTTATCCTCGTAATCTATTAAGACATAAATACAAAGTTACAAAAATAATATAAATCAAAGATGTATTTAAATCAACCTGAATCTATAAAGTTGTGATTATCAACATCACCAGAATGCGTAGCAACATCAGTGTTTGAGTTAATATTAATTTTCTTTATATGTTTTTTTAGATTGCAATATTTATCATATAATTTTCCTTTCATAGGAATTACATTATTGCCATCCTTACAATATGGAGTGAAATAAGTTTCTTTTATTTCATTTGGGAACAATTTTTCAATGCCTATATTAAATAAGTAGGTGTCATTAATGATAATACATAAATTGATATACATATATTAAATATATAGATTAATAAAATCATTAGTCATAAATCCATAGATAAAAATTATAGAAGTATGAATATCGGTTGAAAAAGATGTTTTTATATGACAATTGTTTAATCTAAATATTAAGTATAAATAGTAAATACATCAAGTTGATAATGTAATACGATTTTGGTCCAATGCCTGTATCAAGTTAATACATTAAATTACTTTTTTTTCATCAAGAAAAGAAAATTAAATTTGAAATAAACAATTAGTTTAATTAAAGTCATAGAAATAAAAAACTAATTTGATTACAACATTAAAATGAGTAACCAAAACCAAACTTATATGTTTGTATTTACACATGTACTTATAAATTATTAATTGCAATTATTATTCACGAAAAATATTAATAACATTATACCTAGTAGAGGTTTACAGTCTTTGGTATTATTATTGAACAATTAAGTATCTAAGTATACCTTCAGCTAATAATGAAAATTTATTTTTTTCAATTTTTAAATTATGTTCGCATTCTTGAATTTCATGTTTTATAACTACTGAACTTAGAGTGTTTCTCATGGATTGATTAAGGGTACCAAATGTGTCATAATACTTGAAAACCAACTTCCCATCAGCATAATTGTTTAATATTGTTGAGACATAATCTTTTGATTGTGGATTCTACAATATATTATTTAAAAAACAAAAGTAAGTATTAAAATAATATTACTACAACAGCTTTGAAGATTAACCAGTGGCTTGCAAGTTTATCTCATGATTTGCATTAAGCTTATTGAATTACTAATACATGATTGCTAGCCACTATTTTATTTACAAAATATATTTAAAAAAAATATTATTATTGACTAAATTCCAGCTATAGCTGGAACACTGGTTATAACCAGTGTATGATAAGAAAAAAATAACAGGAAGGACATAATTGAATACAAAATAAAGCTTACTATGACCTATATACCTATATCAGACTATTGAAAGTGTTAAAATTATTATGTTTAAGACTAAGAGTGATAACCCTTCTTTAGTGACACCCTGAATAATAAATTAGTATTACATCAAACATCATAGTGGAATGGTGTCAATCAGATGAAGTGTAAGCTACGATAATTCAAAAAAATAATTAGTACTCAATAATTTCCCTATGTATCACTTTTCTCAAGTCATGCACTGGCTATAACAAGTTTCTACCTCTTCAGACTGAACTGCATGTATATATGTAATTTGGTTTTTGTCTGTTATTATGCTTCTTTCTAAATATTAAACAAATTATAAAAATAGGTGATAAATATGTGTTTATTATTAAAATATAAGAAATTGAAAGAATTTAGTGGTAACATATACCAGAGCTGTCAGTAATAATACTAATTGAGTCTAGATCCTTTGATGTTCCTTCAGGAAACAAGTTTTCATGAGAAAACAAATCTGTACTAGCAAAAGGTTCTTGTATTTCAATTACCATCTGACTTATGTCTTCATCGTAAGTTACTAAAAATTTAATACAAATTTAATTTGAAAAATAAAATACTAATTTGAATGTATAATAAATAACAAAAAATTTAACACCATACCATCTTTCTGTGGTTGTAATTTAGAAATGTGAGTTATCTCTTCCAAAAATCCCTAATGGAGAATATATAGGTAATTAAGCACAATATAGAATGAAATTTGTAAATGTGAGAATTTCATCATTTGTAAATTCACGCAATTACATAGGTAGTACATTGAATCACAATCAAATTAACAACATATAATAAACCAGATATTTCATCAAAATTATTCAACTCACTTGACTTGTCTTTTTATATTCTTTCAGCTTACTAAAAAATTTTGACCTTTTTCCAATTTTAGGAAATAGCTCTTTTATCATGTCTTCGGTTAAATTTAATAATTCTTTCTGGTCAATCTCCTCATCTGAATAATATTTATATTATAAGAATTAAAGTCGATAGCTTTATTCTATTAACAGCTAACAAGATTGATAATGTATTTTCTGATGACGACAACACTTAAATTGTTATATTTTTCAGTAGGTGTATATATAATATAGGTATATTGTAAATAGGTAGGTAGGTGTATTATATTATAATCTAAATTTGTGTTTTCATTTTTTATTCAGACTTTGTTTAATAATCTCCTTACCTACAAGAGTAGGTATTTAATATGTTAAAGATTTATTGTATTATATTTATAATATTACCTATATTAGTTAATTACATAATACCTATTGATGTAGTACGAGTAAATTGTATAGATAAACACTAATATTATTATAATGAAAATGGAATTAACTAACAATATATTATAAATACTAGCGTTAGTATAACTATACGTTAATAATATTATTTAGTAAAGAGCAATATATACGTATGGTAAAAAAAACATAATGTAGCAATGTACGTAGGTACTCGACAGTCAAAAATTCAACATGCAGTTTTAACCACTTTGTAGTGACTAGTGGGTAAGTTACTTAGGTAATCTAAGTACTTAAGTTACAAATCTCTCGTAAATAATATTAATAATTATAATTTGTTCTACATTACCTTTAAAAATGGTTACCATGTCTTCGAATCCCCATGCTTTCAGAATATTTTCAGTGAATTCGTCCATTTAGTAAGAAGTTACGAAGGTACTTGGCACTTGTAAATAAATAAGACAGCTTGAAGTGAAAAGTCACCAAGTCACTTAACGCAAAATTATTATTTTCTACAGCACTAGACAGAGTAAATTACTTTAAAATTGTCAGAACACTCAGAACTGTATAGCTATTGTGATTCTATTCTATGTTCAGTGATCACTAATATGGTAATAACTAATAATATCACGAAAAGTAACAACAATAACAACACACAGTCACTGTCACACTCACACACGCACACAACAGCCGCCGCCGCCGCCGCCGAGGCATTGGGAAAAACCAAAATAATTAATAATAACGGTTATATTAATATTTGCGAACAATCGTTACTATATATTAAGGTTGTATTAACCACTTTTTTCTGGTAAAATATTTTTGACTATATTTATAGTTGAATAAGATAAAATATTTCAACTAATTATAGTTTGTTAATTTGACTAATGTATTTGGTAAAAATGTAGTAAATGCAACTAAAATATGTTTGTTTTAACTATAATATTTCTACCTATAATTATTTAGTTATAATTTTTTTCCGTGTGTTACATTCACTATCCTGACTT